AACCTTTTCTAATCGATGGAAAGTTAGTTTAATTTTATAATTGCTCTCATTTTTATTTATTGCTTATTTGCCTGATTTCAATGTCGTAATCTTGTCACATATTTTTCATTACAAATACTTTAAATGACTTTAATTTAAATAATATTTATTATTGTATTTGTAATAATTATTGCTTAACAGAAAGTTTGACATTGGATTATACGTGACAATGACTTCTATAAACCCATTGCGAGTCTATATTCTGGATAACGAAGCTCTGCTCCGATTCTGTGCCCGACCTTACCATCCATTCAATAGCACTGATTTAAATTCATATGTTGTCGGCGATGATTACACGCCAACGTGGCTGGTATTCAAACCCATATTTTATATAATATTCCCAATCATTACTTACTTGTCATTAATAGATGCCTTCTCTTCGAAAATATTTCATTGATCTCAACCTAAATATGAAAGAATCGTTTAACGCATACCTGAGGTCTTTGGGAAAAGATCCCAATTTTGTTTGGAAACAAATTGAAGATTCAATAAAAACCGTTTATTATGCAAAAGAAGAACAAATGCTTCGTTTGACCGATACTTTTGAGACGACGAGGTTTTTAAACATTTTGAATCAATAATAAAATGATTTATTCTTAACGTCCAAATCAATAGACATTTCTTTGAAATGGTTCGCTTCGACTTCGCTTTAGATGAAGACCTAAATGTATATCTAATGGAAGCCAATATGTCTCCCAACCTATCGTCAGCCCATTTCGCACCCAATAAACTACTTTACGAACAAGTGATACAACAATTTTATTAAATTCTAAAAATACTTTTATTAAACTATTTATTTTATTTCACATTTCAGGTAATATTCAATTTATTATCACTGGTAGGCGTCGCGCGAACTCTCGACACCAGAACGTGGACTAATAGGAGTCCCGATGACTACAATATGATGGTCACGACGAAAGAGATGTCAGTGAATGAAGAGCTGTGCGCTAACGCTGAATGTCATTTGTCGTGTAAAGCGAGTGAATGCGATGTCTGTTATCATTGTTTAAAAGATGAGCAAAAACTTGTGCTAAAAGATGCCGTTTTGGAGCAACACTCCAAATGGATGGCCAAACGTCTCATCCCTTCGACATCTGATGTGGATCGAGTGAATGCGATGTCTGTTATCATTGTTTAAAAGATGAGCAAAAACTTGTGCTAAAAGATGCCGTTTTGGAGCAACACTCCAAATGGATGGCCAAACGTCTCATCCCTTCGACATCTGATGTGGAATCAGATCTCATGAAAAGTGACACAAATAAACATCATTTGAAATGGTTTAGAGGAAAGTGTCAACAAAATAAGGAGTGGTGTAATTGAGTGTTAAATTAACATTAATTTATTGAACAAAAACTATATTTCTATGGAAATACATGTATAAAATACTTTTATAAAATAAATAACTGATTGTTTAGAAAAAATGATTAGTTTATATATAAATAAATATATAAGAAACAATGAGATTACAATGGCTTGTATTACAGATATAAAATGTTATATAAAATAGTAACTATTTTGAACACTTGGTAATAGGTTTGGGAATCTTTGAAGGAATTGAATACAAACCACTAGTGATATGGTTTTGTGACAAACATTTGGTGTTTGAATTAGAGTTACATTGACTACGAATTAGTTGAGGTAACGATGACTTGCTTTTAATTGAATTCATTTTCGCTGAATTCAACGCTTTTCCATTGACTGAATAGTTATTCAATTGGACTAAAGTTTTACATGTGTTGAGTGAGCTATCAATTGTCAAGTGAACGAACTCTTCAGTCAATTCTTTCATATTCTCTTCCTGTTCTCTATTCATCTCTGAATTTTTGTCCAAATCGTGGATCAATTCAGTGATAGCTTCGATAACATCGCGATCAGATTCAGACGACAGCATGTCTTTAAACATGCCTTTCATTTGTTCGTTTCGGACACTAATTTTTGCATTTCTAAAGATATGTTTGAAAGCCTTAAGACATTTGCATACATTGAGTCTAATATTTGGCACTTTGTCTGTGCGAAGACTTAGTAAAGGGTCTAAAAAATATGACATCAATATATTTTCATCACATATTTCGCTAATAAGTTGGCAAACATTTATAAATAGCATTCGTTTGGCACAACTCTTTCCATAACAAAAAGTGCTGACAAACCAATCGTATATACTTTGAGAGGATTTCTGCTTAAATACATCAAAAAGAACCGGAATATTCTTGAACAGAATTAATACACATCTAGAAGTTCCGATTCTTAACGGAATTGGTCTCTAAATATTAACAAATAATTAAATATTAGTTATAATAATAAACGGCAATCAAATAATACACACAGCGGTGAGAATCCTATTGAGAAGTAACGGCAAGAATACTGCTTCGATAGCTTTCACAGGAAAGTATACCAACACTTGAATTAGATTTTCATAGAAATCAATTTGTAATCTCCAGTCGAGATTCAGGCAAATAGTATTCTCACATCCGATCAGATTTTGCATTAAATCCACAAATAAATCATTCTTATGGTAGAAATTGAATAATAAATATAAATTAGTATAAATTCAAAGCTAATTCTTATGCATTCAATACTTTATTTTCATTTGGCGTCGATTTGATGGCATCGATGAGAAGGGAAGACAAGAATGGATTCAATTCTTTAATCACAATCATATTTGTTTGACTCATTAGTTTCGATAACTGGGGGTAGAGTTTGAACGGGTTTTTCATAAGAATACTGATATCATTGAAAGCCGAGGCTATAGTGCGGACAACATTCGTATCGACATCAGAGCACAGAAAGTTCAGTATAGAGAACAGCATATCATTTGTGCCATAGATTTGAAGCATAATCTGTTTGATTGTTGGATAAAACGAAAATAGTAGTGAATTTTTGAACATTAATTGCATAATAAATAACAAATCTTACGGGAAAATAGTGGGCCAACAGAATGCGGCACTGAATGTCTCGTTCGGCATAATTAGCGATTTTGGCATTTAATTGGAAATCATTTGAAATTAAGAAAATATTGCAGTAATAGTCGAGAAACCATTTCTCCCGTGAAATCACATTCTTTGGCAAAATTGAACACAATTTCCCGAAATTCATAAAAATAAGACCTAAAGAGCCGTCATTTGTGATAAAAGCGAAGTCAAAGAGTGAGATAATTTGCGGCAAAATTATCTGTTTGTTGAAATCGTCGTCAAATTTGGGTATCAAATCAATCAACGACTCGAGTGATGCGATTCTGACCATCAATTCGCTATCATTTGTCAATTCAATGAGTTGTGGAAGAATTTGAGTCTTTATTGTCTCCAAACTAATCCAAACAATCAAATAGTCATCAAATATAGTATTTGTGAAAAACAAAAGTAATTAATTAGAAAAATACCTGAAATTTTGGGACAAAACAAACATTTGTTTAGAGATATGAGCTCTGATTGAGGGCTGAAAGTCATGGCACAGGTATTGCACTAACGGTAAGATTTTGTCCATAAAAATACTTTCGTTGAGCCGTCGACTCAATTTGGACAACATTTTGCAACTGAAGACACGGTTGGGAATCGATTCGCTCCGACTATTATCCACTGTTATTGTCAACACTTCCGATAGCATCGACTCGTTTATCACATTGTTGTCAATGATGTCCAACAAGACATTGTTCCAGACGTCACACTTGTCTGCAATGCAATCACCGATCAGCTGATCCCATATATCATAACTACAAGTATTGAATACCTTTATTGTTGGACACGTTAGCCATGAGGTGATCGAAGAATTGGTTGAAAGACAAGCCATTCTTGGGGTCGTGGTTGACGTCAACCGGTATTTCAATCGATTGGTTGTCAATCAAAAAGGGACTCAAATGGGAGTCATTGTTGTCATTGTTATCAATGAATGACATCGTGTTTGCTGTCAAACACCAGTCAAAGACATGTCATCAACGGTTAGGTAAACACATGAGACAATCCAATACTAATCGCAAACACCAATTGTTATCACATTTTTTTGTGCTAATTATGTCTGCATTTCAAAGCGGTTTCCAATCGCTGTATAAATATATCACTAGTTATTGGTATAAATAAATGCAAAAATTATTAATCAATAAAAAATTGATACAAAAATCTATCGACAAAAACAATAAAATGAGTGAAACATTGAAAAAGTGCTCAAAAAATAGTGTTTTGTTTTTGACGTTTCGTTTCAATTGTGTTGTCATTTGAATGCTTCACACAATACACGCGATGGCAATGGTTTGGCCTATGGTTTGCCCAATGCTTCGCTCTATACTCGACCCACACTGTACTCAAACCTATAGGCAATGCATGAGTAGACCTACATTCGCACCCATAAAGTGTACACACAATACAAATGCATTGGCAATACACTGGACGTCAGGATTAAAGGCGAGACTCAATGGCATCAAAAGGTATAGGAAAACAATGTTTAGGGCCTAAACTTGAGGCCTCAATAACAGGGCTTAATATTACACATACGCTGTGTCTGTGTTTCGTACAAAACAAGATCGAAATAAATACTTTTCATCAACTTTTTTAGTCTTCAAAACTATGTATTTATAGGCAAAACGCAAACCAAACGAAGAGAGAAAAGAAATCAATCATTTAATGTGTATTTAATTGAGTTTTAAAGTTAATGTTTGGAGAGAGAGGTCACTTCGGGACACCAATGAGTGATGTGTGGACACAAGTGTCGGATCAATTGGTGTGAATCAGTGTTTGTCTGTCAGTAAAGTGTCGGCCATTTTGTGTGGCAATGGAGTAACAAAGACACGCTTTTTGGGGTTTTCTCAGCCTTTTCCCCACTTTTTCCCCACATTTTCACCACATTTTAGTGAACTCCGCTTTAAAGGCATACATCTCTTCACTGCACACACTGTACGTCACAAACAGTGATTGAGTCCCCCCTTCACTGCCCCCTCACTGCCCGTCCATTGCTTACCATTGCGTTCATTGTGTGCTAATTGCGGACGTATTGTATGGTATGTATGGTCGGAGAGAATGCCCTGAATATGATATTACAGTACAACTTGTATACCACAGACAGCTATTATAGCGTAGAAATAGTGTATAAAAGTTATGTACAAAATAGTGCTACAAATTCTACAGTCGATACACAACAACACAAATGAGTGAACATTCATGGCATGAATGCGTCGTTGAATGCATTGAGAAATAGTACACAAAATAGCCGTATATTTAAATAGACAGTCAATGCGTAACGAAAACCATAGACTGTCTGTACTTTTCTCTCAATACGCTATACAATAAACTTATAGACAAAAAACTTTTTTGTATTTTTCTAAATCCAATGTTTGGCTTATATTTTGCAAAAACTTTTTTATTGTTATTTTTCTGCTCTCAAAAACAATAAGCGATTAAAAACTCTCTTCGCCTCAACTCTCTCTCTCTCTCTCTCTCTCGCCTTTAATCCTGACGTCCAGTGTATTGCCAATGCATTTGTATTGTGTGTACACTTTATGGGTGCGAATGTAGGTCTTTCTCTCTCACTCTCTCTCTCTCTCTCTCTCTCTCTCTCCCCAAACATTAACTTTAAAACTCAATTAAATACACATTAAATGATTGATTTCTTTTCTCTCTTCGTTTGGTTTGCGTTTTCCCTATAAATACATAGTTTTGAAGACTAAAAAAGTGATGAAAAGTATTTATTTCGATATAGTTTTTTACGAAACACAGCGTATGTGTAATATTAAGGTCTGTTACTGTATTGAGGCCTCAAGTTTAGGCCCTAAACATTGTTTTTCTCTACCTTTTGATGCCATTGAGTCTCGCCTTTAATCCTGACGTCCAGTGTATTGCCAATGCATTTGTATTGTGTGTTACACTTTATGGGTGCGAATGTAGGTCTACTCATGCATTGCCTATAGGTTTGAGTACAGTGTGGGTGTCGTATAGAGCGAAGCATTGGGCAAACCATAGGCCAAACCATTGCCATCGCGTGTATTGTGTGAAGCATTCAAATGACAACACAATTGAACGAAACGTCAAAAACAAAACACTATTTTTTGAGCACTTTTTCAATGTTTCACTCATTTTATTGTTTTTGTCGATAGATTTTTGTATCAATTTTTTATTGATTAACAATTTTTGCATTTATTTATACCAATAACTAGTGATATATTTATACAGCGATTGGAAACCGCTTTTAAATGCAGACATAATTAGCACAAAAATGTGATAACAATTGGTGTTTGCGATTAGTATTGGATTGTCTCATGTGTTTACCTAACCGTTGATGACATGTCTTTGACAGCAAACACGATGTCATTCAATGATAACAATGACAACAATGACTCCCATTTGAGTCCCTTTTTGATTGACAACCAATCGATTGAAATACCGGTTGACGTCAACCACGACCTCAAGAATGGCTTGTCTTTCAACCAATTCTTCGATCACCTCATGGCTAACGTGTCCAACAATAAAGGTATTCAATAGTTGTAGTTATGATATATGGGATCAACTGATCGGTGATTGCATTGCAGACAAGTGTGACGTCTGGAACAATGTCTTGTTGGACATCATTGACAACAATGTGATAAACGAGTCGATGCTATCGGAAGTGTTGACAATAACAGTGGATAATAGTC